CTTCCACGATTGAGGTTACATCGTATCGTTGTTTCTTTGTGGCGATCTCATTGACGCTACGGCTCATCATCAAAATGGGTGCCACGCCACGAAGAAGCACGCCGAGGAGGAGGACTGCGGAGGAGGGGAGGAGGAGGAGGAGGAGGAGGAGAGGAGGAGGAGGAGGAGGAGGAGGAGGAGGAGGAGGTAGGAGGAGGAGGAGAGGAGAGGAGGAGGAGGAGGAGGAGGATGGAGGAGGAGGAGGAGGAGAGGAGAGCGAGGAGGGAGGAGGAGGAGGGGAGGAGGAGGAGGGAGGAGGAGGAGGAGGAGGAGGAGGAGGAGGCGGAGGAGGAGGAGGAGGAGGAGGAGAGGAGGAGAGGAGGGGAGGAGGAGGAGGAGGAGGAGAGAGGAGGAGGAGGAGGAGGAGGGGAGGAGGAGGAGGAGGAGGAGGAAGGAGGAGGAGGAGGAGGAGGAGGAGGAGGAGGAGGAGAGGAGGAGGAGGAGGAGGAGGGGAGGAGGAGGAGGAGGAGGAGGGAGGAGGAGGAGGCAGGAGGAGGGCGGAGGGGAGGAGAGGAGGAGGAGGAGGAGGAGGAGGAGGGTGAGGAAGGAGAGGAGTTGAGGACGAACGGGGGACGGAGGGAGAGGAGGGGGAGGATGAGGACCATAATACAGCCACGATGTATCAACAACGCCGCAAAACAACATCTTTCCGAGTCCCCTCCGTGCTCTAGAGGCTTGCGCCAGTTCGCCAGGAGGAGGCGGCGGAGGCGGAGGCGGCGGCGGAGGAGGAGGGGGCGGAGGAGGCGGCAAAGAGGGAGGGGGAGGAGGCGGAGGAGGACGATGACGAGGATGAGGAGGAGGATGATGATTAGGATGAGGATGAGGATGACGATGAGGATGCGGAGGAGGAGGAGGAGGCGGCGGAGGAGGAGGAGGGATAGGAGGAGGAGGAGGCGGAGGAGGAGGAGGAGGAGGAATACTATTCTGATCATTAATAATAAGAAGGAGACGAAGAATAATCAGAAGACTACTACTACTACTACTACTACTACTACTACTACTACTACGACGACTACTACTACTACTACTACTCATACTACTACTACTCATACTAATACCGATAATGATAGTAGTAATACTACCACTACTATTAATGCTGATATTAATAATGCTACTACGCTTCATGCTATACTAACAGTAATAGTAATACTCGTATTAATGCTACTACTAATACTACCACTACTAGCAATACCACTACTACTAGTAAGACCACTAATAATAAGACTGCTTATGCTAATACTAATAATACTTATACTAATAATATAATAATAATACGAATGGGCATACTACGACGAATACTGGTACTAAGAAGACGAACAGGCATACTAATACTAAGAAAAAGAAGAAGACGAATAATAATAATACTAATACTAAACAGAAGAAGAAAACGAATCCTACTAATACTAACAGTAATAATAGTAAGAATAGTAACACTGATCATACGACTACTAGTCTTAGCAATACGAATAATCATACTAATAATACGAATACTACTAATACTACGAATAATACTAATAATAATATTAACAATAACACTAATAATAATATTCTTATTACTAATACTATTAATAATAGTAGTGATAAAACTAAAAATGATGATGATGATACTAATAATAATAATACTACTACTACTAATAATAATAATATAATAATAATAAGAATAATGCTATTACCAAGAAGAGGAAGAGAAGGAGGAGGAGGAGGAGGAGGAGGAGGAGGAGGCAGAGCAGGCGGAGGAGGATGAGGAGGCGGAAGCGGAGGCGGAGGCGGAGGCGGAGGCGGAGGCGGAGGCGGAGGCGGAGGAGGAGGAGGAGGAGCAGGAGAGAGGAGCGATGAAGGGGAGAGGAGGAGGAGGAGGAGGAGGCTAGGAGGAGAGAACGCGAGCCGAGGAAGAGGAGGAGGAGGAGGAGGAGGAGAGGAGGAGGAGGGGGGAGGAGGAGGGGGAGGAGGGGAGTGAGGAGGAGGAGGAGGAGGAGGAGGAGGAGGAGGAGAGGGAGGAGGAGGAGGAGGAAGAGCAGATGAGGAGGAGGAGGACGGGAGGAGGACAGGAGGAGGAGGAGGGGAGGAGGAGGAGGAGGAGGAAGAGGAGAAGGATGGAGGAGGAGCGAGGTGGGAGGAGGAGGAGGAGGAATGCAGGAGGAGGAGGTTGAAGGCAGGAGCAGGGGAGGAGGAGGAGGAGGAGGAGGAGGAGGAGGAGGAGGAGGAGGAGGAGGGGGAGGAGAGTAAACAGCAAGAGAAGAAGACATCGCGGGATGATATGCCGCCTATCTGTTCCAGTATCGAGCGCGGACGCCACCAGAGTGACTTCGAGCGCGTCGTGGACCACTCTGGCCCTCGAGAAAAACGCGGCTGCGGAATGGAAAGGGGAGGGGGTTGGGAAGGTTAGGTTACGGGGAGAGGGAGGAGAGAGAACCCGCCTTGCCCTCTCAACAGGGAGGGTCCTGCTTCACTAGACAGGGCAAGCCTCACCTCCCCCTGGCCATGAATTGATGAACTGATATGTTGGGATGTTGAAGTTCTTACACTACTATATCACACAAACCCTCTGGGCGGACAAACTGTTACACAGCGCCCTGTCTGCTGCTATGCACTGTACTTGCTATTTTGGGACCTCCCGCCTAATTGCATCATGCATGCCCCCATCGCACATAGCACAACTCCCTGAGCTTGGGAACGTAACCAAGCCATCTCGCTAGCGTCGTAGACGGTGAAAGGAAGCCCCACTGCATCCAGCACCCACTGGACTTGCCGAGATTGTTCAAAATGCGATACCCGTAGAGTGAACCAAGCTCCGGCGATATCTCGATTTCGGTTGAAAGATGGTGACCAATCCTCGCACCATGCACTGATGATCCACATCCCATGCGAAACAATAAGGAACGTGCCCGTGAAGCTGACGCCCCAGAACACGCACTGGAGAAAGAGGTAGAGGGTCGGATAGCGCCACTGCCATACATAGCACGGTATGGGCGAGATAGACCTTGGAGCCCACAACACATGACTGCTGGACTCCTGATGCCGCCATACATCCCAAGATACTTTCTGGTCGGGCTGCCGGTGCTGCCATGTTCCTATTCAGCGCGCTTCGCCGATGATGATATCAACCTCCAGCTTGGCCTTTTCCTTCTTCGTACCTGTCTGCTTAGATGACGGAGCGTGGGATTTGATGGGCCTGTCGACCTGGCCCGTCGCCCACTTATCCTGGAGCGCCCCTTCCACGATGGCCGACACTTGCTCGTACGCTTGGTCCAAGCCTGCGACAACAACGGAAATCTCTTCCATTGCAACGCCACATCTGCAACATGAGCGTGAGCACGCTGAAGATAAAGATCGCCTGGCTAGGTCCACCTCCACTGCAGCACGCTGCATAGAGAAAACTTCGTAACCAATGTTGCCAATTCTGAGCATACCACGAGCTGCCCGGGCAATAACTCGAAAACCAGTTCCACCAGGACAATCTTTGGTGTTGACCAAGCGTCGAGCACAACTGTGACGAGGCTTCGTGCACGTCTTCGTCCCGTCGGGTAGCCAACACTTGGACTTCCATAGCGGAAAAATCGTGGGAGTGCGCGTTGAACGGTGTTCTGGAGGAAGCTGCCGATGGCCGCGGAGCCACGGCGGTAAACCACAGAACACTCGCGTCCACATCTAAGTTTTGACGTCGGTGACTGTAAGATCAGGCCGCATGACCCAGTCGGGGTCCTCCAAAATCGATCTGGCCAAATACTGCATCAGAGAATCCCCATCAGAACACCAAAGGCGGTCTGCCATCTTGTCGTCCGCCATCACGACCTCGACGTTGTAGACATCCATTGCAAGAGACACGGGATGTTCCATATCTCCCCATTGCCAAGGCTGAGAGTCCAGATATGGGCACCGTGTCCAGGCCTCGGCTATGGCATCGCAGACGGTGCGAACAAGCCGTTGGGTTGGCCGTCTGTGAAGACGCAGTCGTGCAGACCATACAAATAGCTCCTTTCGCGTCTCGCCAAGCACACGCCGGAGACTAGGCCACTGGGGAAGATGCCACGGACCATCCAGTGCTCGAAGACGTAGGGGAGGCCGAACTGGAACATATGCATCTCGTACAGGTGGCTCCGCGAACATGTAGGACTGGCAGAACCTCGGAGCCAAGACCCGGCCTTTCCACACCTGCTGGCCTTTGAATGCATGCCGGACACGGGCATGCACCCAATTGCGAGCCGACGCCATTCGGAGGAAGCCAAAACCCTTCCGAAAGGCCAGTTTGACCTGGCGGAGAATTGGCGGAGGGCAGGAGGAGGAGGAGGAGGAGGAGGAGGAGGAGGAGGAGGAGGAGAGGAGGAGGGAGGAGGAGGAGGAGGAGGAGGAGGAGGAGGAGGAGGAGGAGGAGGAGGGGAGGAGGAGGTAGGGAGCACGGAGGAGCCGGAGGAGGAGGAGGAGAAGGAGAGGAGGAGGAGGAGGAGGAGGAGGAGGAGGAAGCAGAAGGAGGAGGGAGAAGGAGGAGGAGGAGGAGGAGGAGGAGGAAGGAGGACGGACGAGGAGGGGCCCATAGGATAGGGAGAGAGGTAGGAGGAGGGACGAGGGACATAGGCAGAGAGGTGAGAGAGTGGAGAGGGAGAGAGGCGGGGAGCGAGGGAAAGGGCACCAATAGGAGGGTTGAAGGATAGGAGAGAGAGGAGGAGGAAGGAGAGGTAGGGAGGGGAAAGGGGAGCGACGGGAGGAGGAGAAAGGACCGGAGGAGGCGGTGAGGAGGTCTGAGGAGCGGAGGAGGAGGAAGGGAAAATGGAGGAGGCAGGACGGAGGAAGAAGTAGGCAGGAGGGAAGGAGCAGGAGGTATGCGAGGTGAGAGGAGGCAGGAGGAGGGAGGAGCAGGAAGGAGGAGGAAGGGAGGAGGAGCAGGTGGAGGAGTTAGAGGGTGGGATGCCAGAGGAGTTTAAGAAGGTGGCTGCCTGGGCGCCAGTCTTCAGCTCCCCCCCAAGGCCTCTGGGGCTGACGGCGTGGCTGCCGCCGCCAAGCGCCGCGGGAGCGACGGCAGGCACGGCGAGTGGTTCGACCCCGAGGCCCCGCGGCCCTCGCGGCAGGGGGATGCAGGGCCGCTTGCTTCGGCCGTGGCAGCGTCGCGCGCGATCCCGTTGCGGCTCGACGCGATTCGGCGGATTGACCGCCGCGGTGCAGCGGGTTTGGCTCGGGAGGCTTCCAGCAGCGACTCGATTGCGATGTCGATGTGGAAGCCAAGTTTCATCCTAAATTTTCCAGTCGGCCACTCGCTCGTCGAATGAGATAGGCTACCATCTGCTGCTGCGGTAAAGGTCGTCTCGAGCTCGAGGCTCGAGCGCGTGGGGCCGTTGGGAGGGCTGACGCGCGGGTGGCCCTTTTGGTGGTGGCATCGGCTGTGCTCGCCATGCACTGCCGATCCACCTGGAGCCCAGAGCTCCTCACCTCGTGGCGAAGTCACGGCGCGATTTTATCGTCGTCGTGGTCGCTGCTGTTTTTTCGGCCTCCGGGGCCCTCACCAGGCCCCCCAGAGGCGCTCCGGGAGGAGCAGCCGGCCCCGGGGGTCGTAGACCTCCATGGGTCCACGGTGTGCAAGAAGCACACCGCCGTTTTTTTTTGGGGGGGGGGGAGGGGAGGGCGGAGGGGTTCACGAAGGGGGCGCCTGAAGCTCGTTTGCGCGTTTGCGCGATGATAGTCGGGCGGCCCGAACCAAACCTCCAGGTCGGTTTCGGAGGTCGCCGACGGGCGAACCGCCCAATCGGGGCACGGCTTCTGCATGGAGGGGCATGGACCACCAGGGGTTGCGCGGGCGGTCGTTGCCGGTCCGGCCTACGGCGCGCTCTGAGGAGCCACCAGCCTCAGTCTTACTGGCTTGGGTTAGGTAACTGACGCGTGGATAGCATGGTTGGTCGCCCCCCGATGGGGTCCGCAGCAGATGGGGTCAGAGGATCCGCGCCGCGTCGCCCACGCTCTCAGCGGTCTTCGGCGGTGCTGGGCTCCCGGTGGAGGGTGGGATGCCCCCCCCGACTTCGCCGCCACCCCACGCGTCCCCGACGCATCGGCAGCCCTCTCGATGCTACCGGCGAGGCGGAGGAGTCCTCACGACCACCCCTCCCTCCTCCACCCCCTCCCCCCTCCCCCACCCTCCCCCTCCCCCTCCTCCTCCTCTCCCTCCTTCCTCCTCTCCTCCTCCTCCTCCTCTCCCCTCTCCTATCCTCCCTCCTCCTCCTACTCCTCATCCTCCTCCTCCCTCCTCATCCGCCTCCGCCTCTCCTCCTCCTCCTCCCCCCTCTTTTCGGACACTCGGACCCCATCCGGGAGGCCTCTCTATTCTTGTGGGCGCGGGCCGCTCGCCCAGGGCGACCGCCCCTGCGCCCGGGGTCGGTGCTGCCCCTCCCTCGGCACGACCGACACGGGTACGGAAAGTTATCGCCCACCAAACCACCCCAACCCAACCCGAAGGCCACGATTTGCCTTCCATTTCCAGTGGGGGGGGGGTCGGGGAACATCTAAAAAACGCGTGGAACTCGTACCCCCCCCAACCCGAATTCGGGTCAAATTCGGGTCTTCGGGTTGGGTTGGGGTGGTTTGGTAGGTAGTCAGAAAGAACGGGAAGGAAGACCAGGAGCATCTCTTGATCCCACGGAGCAGGGCTCGCCGTCGACGTCGCCGCCGACGCTGTCTATCTGAGTCAGAAGGCCCCCTGCCCAACAGCGGCCGCTGCCGGTTTTGGACAGCCTCTGCTGTTGGGCATGGTGCCCGCTGCTCCCGCACCGAACGCCCCGGAGGGGCCGCTCTCTGGAGGGGCCGCTCCCTGGAGGGGCCGCTCCCCTGGCGGTGGCGTCGAGACAGGGGCAGCTGCGAGCCATGCCGCGCGCAGCCGGTCTCGGCCCCGCCGCGGGGCGCCTGCCTCGGCGCAGGTTCGCCGCCGGTGCCGCGAAGGCCAGCTGCGCGTGTCTCACTCGACGGCCCATCCGAGGCCCGAAAACCATCACTTCACTAATTTTGGGCCCCAGGGCCCACTGAGGCCCCAGGGGCCCCAGATTAGTGAAGTGATGTTTTTTCCCACGTAAGGACCCCGAAATTCATCACTTCACTAAACCGAACCCAGGACGAAAGTCAGGGGCCGAATTGCTGCTGTGATGCCACATCGGCCTCGTAGCCCAGTCTTCGCCAGCGCCCCGCCCCCTCTTCGTCGACTCCGACGGGCCACGGGGGGGGCGGGGGGGCGGCGGTGGTGTGTGCCTTCTTGCCGCTTTCGCGGGTCATCCTGTACGTCAGCCGTCCGCGAAGCAGCAGACCTTGTCCTTATCCAGGGTGGTGCCAGGATGCCAACGGCAACAGTCGGCGCTTTTTTTTATCATCGAGAATGAAAGAACGTCATATCCTAATCACACAATGAAGACGTAGCCTAATTTAGGTCGCCGTGCTTACATTAGGGGCCATCAGTCTGGGTGGTTTTGTTTGATGCATCTGCTGAAGAGACCCCGCATCCCTAGTGTTTGGGACCTCTTTACTTAGGCCCTCTCTTTACTTTTGACCTTGTGATCGGGGCCCTTTAATCGCTAATCATTCTACGCAGGCAGGGGGGGTCACTTAAGAACGGCTCTGTCGCATGGGCGCATCGCGCCCCCACGTGGCGCGAGGCGGGGTCTTAGGTGACCCACAGTGAGGCCCGATATCAGCAGAATACACATGTAAACCACCCCCGCCATGCCTGGCCAGGGTCACCCCGAGCCCTGGCATGGTTTGTGCGTGTGTGTGTGTGTGTGTGTGTGTGTGTGTGTGTGTGTGCGTGCGTGCGTGCGTGCGTGCGTGCGTGCGTGCGTGCGTGCGTGCGTGCGTGCTGGTGTGTGCGTGTGTGTAAGTGTGTAAATGTGTGTGTGTGTGTGTGTTTGTGTATGTTTGTGTTGGCCCTCCTGGCCTCCACCGAGGAGGGCGTTTTGACCGCGCCAGGGCCCAGGATAGCCCTGGCCAGTGTTGGTGGTGGTGCCCAGTCAAGACGCCTACGTAAGAACCACTTGGAGGCTCAGGAGGGGCTCTGGCTTTAGAGCCGTCCCTGAGATCCGGGCCGGGGAGCTTAGGCATTCGCGGCCGAGGCCCGCCGTGACCGGAGAGGCGCCTTCGTTCCTTGCTCGGCGCTTGGATCGGCCGGTATCACGGAATGGCGGTTCCGCGGTCCGTGGGTCGATTGGTCGAGGACGGTGCGTTCAGTGTGGGGCGCACCGCGGGAGGGGGGGGTGGCCACCTGGGGGGGCACGGCCACCTGGAGGGAGGAGGAGGCGGGGGGGGGGGCACCTGGAGGAGGAGTGGGGGCACTGGAGGAGGAGGAGGAGGAGAGGGAGGAGGAGGGAGGAGGAGGAGGAGGAGGAGGAGGAGGAGGAGGAGTGGGAGATGAAGGGTGAGGAGGGGAGGAGAGGGGGGAGGAGAGAAGGAGGAGAGGATGAAGGGAGGAGATGGATGGTGGAGGAAGGAGGAGGAGAGGAGGAGAGGGAAGGAGGGGGAGGGAAAAGAGGAGAAGGGAGGAGGAGGAGGAGGAGGAGGAGATGGTGGAGGTGGAGGTGAGAGGAGGAGGAGGAGGTAGGAGGAGGAGGAGGCAGTGGTTGGAGGAGGAGGAGGAGGAGGAGGAGGAGGAGGAGGACGAGGAAGAGGAGGAGGAGGAGGAGGGGAGGAGGAGGAGGAGGAGGAGAAGGGTGCGAAGCGCCGCCGCGAGCCCGAGGCCGTGGGTCGGGGGCGTGAGCCCGCGAGGGCCACGTTCTTCGCGTTCGAGTCGCGGGGCCTGGCGCTGTCGGGGGCGGCCCCCAGCGACTCCGCGCGCTTCGCGGGCCTCGGCGGCAGGCGCGGTGGCCTCCTGCTCGCCGCCTACTCCTCGCCGTCGTCGCCGTCGCCCTCCGCCTCCGCCTCCCGCGACCTCCTCTTCGTCCTCGTACACCTCGCCGTCTTCATCCTCCTGCTCCCTCCTCTCCCTCCCTCCCTTCCTCCCCTGTTGTCCTCTTGCTTGTCCTCGCCTTCCCAGTCTGCATCGTCCCCCTTCTTGATTTATGATCATCCTGCTCCTCCTCCTCCTCATCCTGCTCCTCATCCTTCTCCTCCCCCACCTGTTCTGTTCTGCTCCATGCGGAGACTGATTCAAAGCCGCTGCCCCTACAACGCAACAAGTTGATCATCGTCGTTGTCGAGCACCTTCGGCTCGCGAAGCTTCTGTCGGGCCATCCGACGCTCGAGCAGGCACATATCAACACGCGTATGACACTCCTGTGCGCTCAAGGGCTCATCGTGGCTTGGGTTCCACCCTGCCTCCTCCTCCTCCTTCTCCTCCTCCTCCTCCTCCTCCTCCTCCTCCACTGCTTCCTTCTTTTTCCCCCCTGCCCCCTCCTCCTCCTCCCTCCTCCTCCTCTCCTCCTCCTCCTCCTCCTCCTCCTCTCCTCCTCCTCCCTCCTCGCTTCGTCCTTACTGTCACCGTCGCCCTTCCTCCTCCTCCTCCTCCCCTTCTCTCCTGCTCCTGCTGCTGCTGCTGCTGCTGCTGCTGCATGAGCCTCCTCCTCCCTCCTCCTTCCTTCTCCTCTCCTCCTGTTATGCTCCAGCTCCCTGCCCTCCTCCTGGTGCTCCCCCCTCCTCCCTGCTGCTGCTGCTGCTCCCGCCCCCGTCCTCCCCCCTCCTCCCCTTCGCACCAGACCCTGGCGTCCGAAGCTCTGCTTTTTGTCGACCCTGCGTGCCCCCAGGGGGGGGGGCCTCGACCTCCCCGCGGGGCGCAGGTGTCTTTGCCCCCAGCGCCGCTCTCGAGGGCCCCCCCCCCCCCCTCGGGGGGCCCGGCGGCGGCCTCCCGCAAGGGCCGAGGCGGAGAGGCACCATGGCCGCCAGGTCCACCCGAGGTCTGAGGACCTGGCCCCCCCCTGCTCGTCTTGCAGTGGAGGCCCATGCCCAGACACACCCTGCTTGCCTCCAGGGTGCCCTTGGTTTCTTGGATTCCGATGGTTTTGAGTTGGTGTTGCGATGGTTATCTTGACGTTCCCAAACCAATTACCCAGTGCGACCCTACCTAGAAGTTGGAGCCCCTAGGAAGGCAGCATTAGTTGCTATGCTATGTTATGCTATGCTATGCCATGCTATGCAGCGCTATGCTATGCAATGCTATGCTATGCTATGCTGCGCTATGCTATGCTATGCTATGATCTACTGCGCTATGCTATGCTATGCTGCGCAGTGCTAGGCTGTGCTGTGCTGTGCTGTGCTGTGCTGTGCTGTGCTATGCTATGCTATGCTATGCTACGCTATGCTGCGCTATGCTATGCTATGATATGCTGGGCTATGTTATGATATGCTGTGCTGCGCAATGCTATGCTACGCTATGCTATGCTATGCTATGCTGTGCTCTGCTATGCTAAAGCTCAGCGAAACTAAGATGAAGGTAAGCTAAGCTAATATAATCCTGAGCTGAGATGAAGCTAAGCTAAGCTAAGCTAATATGAAGCTAAGCTAAGCTAATATGAGATAAGCAACGCTAAGCTAAGGGGACGTAACTGGGGGAACCGCGGGGCGGATACTGGGGGAACCGCCCGGGGCGAGTTGCACTGCCCGGCCCTTTAAGCATACCGAGTAAGAACCCTTCTAGGCAGAGCCTGAGTAGGGAAAAAGGAATGGGCGTCCTGGGGTCTCGTGGTTGGGTTTCTTGTGGAAGGTTTCTTGTGGTCGGGCTCCTACTGTACACTGAGCACGCTGAAGCAAGGACCGCCTCGGGTTCGGAAAGGGGCTCGCGGCCCCTGGGGTCCTTCCGTGGTGGCTCCTCGGGCACCCCTCGTGCACCCAGGGCGCCACTGGGGCACGCCAAAGAGGGCTCCGTTCCTCGTTGCCAGAGAGGCCGTGCGCCGGGTTCTGCCGACTCTGAAGGGAGATGGAGGAGGAGGAGGAGGAGGAAAAGGAGGAGGAGGAGGAGGAGGAGGAGGGGGGAGGAGGCAGGGGAGGAGGAGGAAGGAGGGGTGAGGAGGAGGGAGGAGGAGCTCCTCCTCCTCCCCTCACTCCTCCTCCTCCCTCCTCCTCCTCCCATCCTCCTCCTCCTCTCTCTCCCCAATCCTCTCCTCCTCGTCCCTCCTCCTCCTCCTCCTCCACCACCTCCCCCTCCTCCCCCTCCTCCTGCTTCTCCTCGGTCTCCTCGTCGTCTTCCTCGAGGAGCGCACGAAGGCAGGCCGACGATGTCCCAGGAGGGCTCGGACAGCACAGCGAGGCTGGAAAAGAGCCAGAGTATACCGTGCTGCCTCTAAGGCGTTCCAAAAAGGGCCTCGGCTTCGAGGATCGAAGGAGTCGTCATCTCTTCCGCGGCGGAAGGCGGCGGAAGGGCGGCGGAAGGTCGGCAGAAGCAAGACGAGACCGCTTCCGGCGGCGGAAGGGGGGCGGAAGGGGGCGGAAGTAAACAGAAAATGCGCCCCCCAAGAGATGACATCGTTTTTGAGTACAGGGTTGTCGCAGTCGGCCATCTAGTGGCCTTAGATCCATCCACCCACCGTTCCCAGGTCTTCGACCAGATGCCCCTTGAATGCGCATGAGGATCTCTTGGGGCGCCTCTCTGATGCCTGCTGGGAGGGCTCTGGGGGGCCTCTTCGGGGGCTTCTTGACGGCTTCTTAGGAGCCTCTGATGGCCTCTTCGGCGCTTCTTGTTGGCCTACTGGCGGTCTCGGGGGTCATTTTTGGGGCGGAGGGCTGGGAAGGTCAGTTCGTGTGTCCCCTCTTGGGGCCCTCTTGAGCCGTCTTGGGGCCTGTTGGGCCGTCTTGGGGCCCTCTTGGGTCGTCTTTGGGCCCTCCTTGGTGCCGTCTTGGGGCGATCTTGGGGGCCTTTTGGGCCGTCTTGGAGCGTTGGAAGGCCGAAAAGGCGACACGCTAAAATGCTTAAGAACTGTAGTAGGCTAACATTTGCCTCTCGGGGCTCTCGTGGAGGTCCACTGGGGGCCCCCTTGGGCCATCCTGGAGGCCTCTTCGACCGTCCTGGTGCCATCTAGTGCGTGTTGGACCCAGACTTCGTCCCTGACCTAGCGTTCCTTCTGGTATCGGAGGCGAGCGAGGGGGGAGGTGAGAAGGGGCGGCCCTTCTCAGAAGGCTCAGAAGTCCCGCGGCCTTCCCAGAAGTTTTTCAAACCTTCCCCCGAGGACGCAGAAAACCTCTCAGAAAGCCAGAGGGCTTCTGAGAAGCCCCGCCGCCTTCTGAGAAGGCCTCCTCCTTCTCACTCCCCCCCCCCTGCTCGCCGCCAGTGGTAGCAGCCCGACCTTCCTGTACTCTGCCTGGCCTGCCTCGGCCCCCTCCTCCCGCCCCGACCGGAGGTGGCGCTTCGTCTGGGCCAGCAGCCTGGCCGGGCTGCCGCCCGGCGCCCACCGCCCCGACTTCGACGACAGCGCCTGGGGCTACATGCCGGCGCCGGCCGCCGCCGCCGACGACGACGATCCTCAGACAGCCAGCTCCTCGAGCGAGTCGAGGGGGCCCGTCGGTCCCTTCTCTTTGGGCCCCTGGAGGCCGGTTTTGGGCCTCGGGCCCGCCATGAAGCAGCTCGGGATGAGAAAACCCGGTCATCGGATAGGATCGAGAGGTCGGAGGGGGCATCACGCATCGAAAAGCTCGCAGCGCCAGCTGTCCGAGGCTGCGGCAGCGACGGCGAAGACGATGCGGCGTGAAGGAGAGGGGTCCTGAGGGAGCCCCGGGAGGGTAGTCCCTGGGGCTTTCCGCGGGACCAGCTCTTCGTTCCAGGCTGAAGGCGGGCCTGTCCCTCTACAGGCGGGATGTTCGAAAGCAGTCGAAGAATCAACCATTTCTAGGACCCGTCGTTCTCCAGCGCCTGGTTCTCTCCTTCCTGTTGGACGATTTCGGCGGCGCCGACGATGACGATCTCATCCTCTCCCTCCTCGTTCTCTTCCTCCCTCCTTCCCTCCCTCCTCGTGCTCCTCCTTCGCGGCCCTCTGGGCCTTCCTGGAGCAGAGCGCCGCCAGCTCTTCGGCCCTTGGGAGGAGGCCCTCCGAGGTTTCGAGAGGTCTCCGGGCTTGTCGGCGGCTTCAGCTTGCTTTGGCTGTGGCTTCTCCAGCGCAGTGTCAAACATTGTGGGGCCCACGAACCCGTTCCTCAGCCCGCTGAGGAGCTTGAACCACGCTTTGTTCTGGCTCGTCTGTTAGACGCTGGTGTGGCATAAGCGGTTTGCCATTTTTTTATGCCACGATGTTTTTTTTTGAGGGGGGGGGGGGTGCTTTGCCGTGTAGGGCGTCCCGCGCGTTTCGTATGGGACTTCGTTACGAGGCTCGTCTTCGTCATTGAATCTCACCGCTGTCAGGCATCCCAGGGCCTCCCGAAGCAGACGGTGGCAAACGGCAGGAAGTCGGGAGCTGCGCGTCGCTCCCCTCTACCTCTCCCACCTCTACCACCTCTCCCTCCCCCTCCTCCCCGTCCTCCACCCCGTTCCTCCTCTTCCTGCTCCCCCCCTCCCCCCCCTTCCTCCCTCTGCTCCCCCCCCTCCCCTTGTCGTCCTCGTCGTCCTCGTCGTCGTCGTCGCCGTCGTCGTCCTCGTTGTCCTCGTCGTCGTCGTCGTCGTCGTCGTCGTCGTCGTCGTCGTCGTCGTCGCCCTCGCCCGGCGGCTCCTGCGCCGCGCCGTCCGGCCCCGCAACGGGGACGGCCGCGAGAGGCCCCGCCACTCGGCGCCGGGGGGGCCCGCTGCCCCCTCCCCCCTGCCTCGTGGAGGAGGAGGGGGAGGAGGAGGAGGAGGAGGAGGAGGAGGAGGAGGAGGAGGAGGGGGGGGAGGAGGAGGAGGAGG